TTCCATTCTTGTGCTAGGGTGAATTTTCAACTTCAATACATGGACATTTGACTGTATGCTTTCCTTTGAGCTCAAGCAAATCTTCCATTGCAGGGAGGGGAGGGGTAGGGAAAGGATTTAGAAGTGTTTTGATATGTGATCTAGTTGCTAACTGCCAGCCAGTTGAGTTCAGTTTGTGGTGACCCTATGAATGAGAACCTTCCAATCACCTTATTATCAACTTACCTGCTCAAGTAATACAGATTGAAGGCCATGACTTTCTTGACTCAAACTATCTATCTGGAATGTGGTTTTCCTTTTTTTCCTTCTGCCTCTATTTTACCAAGCTTAATCTTTCTTAGAGTGTTATAATTTTTCATGATATGTCCAAAGTACAGCAGTTCCTGTTATCTTGGTTTATTCTTTGATTAATAACTGAGTCAGGGTATAGAAAATCTTGCAGTATTTCTCCATTTTCACATTCTACTTTAAAAATTTGTAAGCCATTTTTCATAATTATTTTCTTTTCTTAACATTCATCTGTAAACCTGCCTTTGCATTTTACGACTTTCTTCAGTGTCGTTCCAGGTCATTGCTATTTTTGTTAGTTGTATAGTATCATTTAGAGATCTTACGTACATTTTTGGTCTTCCTTCTTCCAATTTTCATACCTCTTTCCTCAAAATCTAATCCTGCTATACATATGAAACAAGTTTAGGAGGAAGATAAATTCCAGCTTTGCTTGAACTCCTTGCCAATTGGAAGCCATTTTGTTTCTCTGTATTTTGTTCTGATTGTACCTTTTTGTTTTGAGAATAGGTTACTGTTGGGAATCAGCCTGTGTTTGTGTTCCAGGATCATGATGCATATTATGTGATTAATGATTGTGCCAAGGTTGAGGTGCAAGATGGAGATGGTTTGGTCAATGATTTTCATACAGACAATGCAAAGGGCAGTTTCTCATGAGAATATTCCTGCTGAACCTAGGGATGATGGTTTACTCCCTCTTTCTGTGAGCTTTCAAGATTTGGGTTTAGAAAACAATCTGACAACTGGAAATTTTAATGAGCATCCAAGATAGGGAGTTGAAGGATAGGTGGCTGGAGATCAGCCAGGATCAACAGCAAACTCAGTGTTTACATCGCTCCGAAAAACTTCGTCAGATAAGGGGCAAGTGTGGGAGAAAGTGAAACCAGTTTCTGGGTTTGGGGATATAAGGTTTGCTTCAAGGGAAAACCTGTTAGATCAGGCATCGTTTGGAAATCAAGTTCATGTGCCATGGAAATCCTGTTCATGGGGTCTTTGTTCATGTGGAGAATTTTAGCCTTTTGGATTGTCTTTGCTTCCTGTTGATTCCTGCCTGGATAAGCACTGCCTTGGAACAGCTTTTATATCTTGTGTGGACATTGCTTTGTGTTACTGCATTTTATTGACTTATTACTTTTTGGGACCTTCTTATTTCCTTACAAGTATTTGTTTTTACTGGCTATTTACTAAGCTTCAATAAAAAAGGATTTGTTTCTTCACTCATCGTGTGGTGTGTTTTAAAGTCAGAGGGCTTTTTCCTGACCTGGAGTGCAACAGTTACATGTGAGTTCTATATAATGGTGTTCCTTACCCATATCTTTAATGCTTTTTATGTTCTATACTATCAAAGGGTTTTCTATAATCTATAAAACACAGACTGATTTACCCCCAGAAATTCTTTGTTGTGCTCCATTGTTCTTCTCTGGACATCTTCAAAAAGAGAGTGGACAGATACCTGCTGGGGATGCTTTAGCTGGGAATCCTCCACTGAGTGAAAAAATTGGACACGAGGGCCCTTGAAAGTCCTTTCAACTATATAGAAGTCACCACAAAGCTTGTAAGTCATTGGAGGTTTCCTAGTCATGAATTAAAAAGAATTACAATTGCATGAAGTTCTTGTAAACTCACTGCAAACCAGTCTTCAAGTGACATAGAAGCAGTAGTTTATGAAAACAACCAAATCCTGTTTTAGAGTTTCTGAACGCCTGTGTAAACCATCTTCCAAACAAATTTTGGGCCATACAATAATGTGAAGGCACTTCTGCAGTGACTTTGGGGACAGTGACATGTTGTAAATGTTTTCTCTCTCTGCTGCAAAGCCAAAAGTTAACCTTGCTCCCTAGTTACTTCCTTATTTTTTAAAAAATCAAGGTGCTTTGTAATTCCCTGGCTACAACAAGTTGCTGAAATGAATTTGTCCCCTAAATGTTTTCCTTTTCTTGCAAGGCAAGACTCTTTTGCAGAACTTCCCACTTTTGCCTGGGTTTTCCTCACTAAAAACCCCTTCAAAGTCAAATCTATACTTCCTCTTTGCAGAATAAACACAAAAAGTACTTTAATTGAAAAATGCTGATCTATTTTAAATTTATTTTTAAAGTGTTTGTATGGTCATTGTTTCAGTAATTTGAAAGCAGGTATACTCCAATCTCAAGCAAGACAGGTTTAGGAACCTCATCTAATAACCTTCTATGATTCTATGGTTGTTGGGAGATGGAGGCAGAAGAAAATAGCATGTTGAGGACCATTGAGAGAGGCACCACTAATAAAACTGCCAATATGAGAATGCTTTCACACTAATGTATGTGTAGCCCTATAATGTGTGCTTTTCTTATCTCTGCATGCCCCGAAAGTGTATAGGTGAGCACGTTCCTTGTTTAAGATGGTTACCATGTTTGAAACTGTGAAGTTAATGGGAAAATGTGAGTAAGGGGGAGATACGATGGAGATACATATAATTAGATATGATTTAGAAAAAGTGAAAGCAGATAATTTTGCTCAAAACCTGGAGTTATCTAAATGTGCTGAATGGTGGAAGATTCGGAACCTGTAAAAAAGAAATAGTCTTCATAAGGTGCATAATGAAATTATGAAATATATTATCTTAACATACAATGGTGGTTATCAGCTTGGGTGGCTTCAAAGGGCAATTAGGTGAATTCATGTCTGCCAGCAGCTACTAGTTATTGCCACAATATATCCCTGAATATATGTTGTAGAGAAAAACAAGTGGAAAGGGCTATTGTGAGTTTCTAATAAACACCTGACTGGCAAAACTCTAAAGAGAATGGTGGACTCGATAAGCATTTGGTTTGAGCAGTGTGCATCTAAAATTCAGCTGCAGGAGAGACAAAAGATAAACTTGGAAGTAATGACAGCAGGGGTAAAAAGGGGTAAAAAGGGATTTTTTTTCCATTCATTGAACTTGGTTACAATAGGATAGTGACAGAAAGTTGTGACCAACAATAAATTCAGTTTGATTATGCACTAGTGTTGGGAAATGGCTCTAGACCAGTAAGTAAATGGAATATGAAATTTTGAATCCAATCAGGACTTATCTCATCTGAGTTGAACATCTAAAATGGAAATAATACAGACTAAAACCAATTGGTTTCTAAGCAGAATGTGAAGATGCAATTTGACATCCCCTTGACATTTGCTTGGTGACAAGACAACATGAGGTGGTTATTGATTTCCACAGCCCCCAAGTTCTTCCTCTCCGTCCTTGGCAATAGGCACGAATCACATTTTATGTACAGCTCACTCCTTGTGATGTTTAATTTAATCAGTGGTTACACATCTGTTTCCATTTGTTTTAGTAAAATATGATCTACAGCATAACAGATATGAAGTGATATTAAATATAAGTTTTTCAGGGCTGCCTAATAAAACGTGAAGACTAGTGAAAACACAAGCTGTGGAAATGACAAGATATTGGACTGACACCTTGAAGTTATTAGGCAAAGACCTTCTTTTTTTTCTTTTTAAAGAAAATGTGAGCATAAATGCTGATCATTAATCAATGAGGGGTTTTGAAAAACAAAAAGGAAAGGACTTTAAGGGGACACTGGCAGATTATCTAAAATTTCCCACTTACTTTTCTTCAAGGCTGGCAAAGTCATTGAAAATATCTGCATTACTTTGATGTAGATTCTGTCCTATTTCCGTTTATTAGAATAATCAAGTGGCATCTTTGCTCCTTTCTTTACAGTGTCTTGTACTCTTACTCCAACTTGGTTGCTGCTAGATACTTTGGACTGTAAATCCCAGAATTCCCTAGACAGATTGGAGAAGACTAAACTCTTCTTAGCCCTTTCCAAACCCAACATAGCCCTTCATCTCCTTGGCTTTATGTGTTCATGTGATCAACTTATTTATCTGACAGGAGTACTGTTTCTGTAAGTAAGCAAGAATCCAAAAGGTGATGGACCACTTCTTTAGAACAGAGATGCAGTGATGAGGAAATGCATTAGTTGCTAAATTTCCTTGTGTGTGTGTATATATGTGTATGACTACATACAAAACATGCATTTTGTATTCACAAAAATAAACACAGGTTTTTGCACATTTTTTCAAAAGTTCTAAGGTTTGGGATGAGCTGAACTGAAGAGTAAAACCTTAAGAGTAATAAAAGGAAAAATGGGAAGTAAACAGTTTGGAGACTGTGGTTCGTGATTCATTTTGTTTGTAAGGACTTCTAAGTAGAAGAAAATTTAATTTTCCTGGATCTTGTCTGCTGGACTGAGCAGTCCCATCTGAATTGAAAGAACAACAGAGACAATATTTTCCATGGTATTCAGTGTTTGCAAGTTCAGCCCCTGCTTGTGACAGCCTCAAGAAGATTTTCCTGCAATCTGCAAAAGGTAAGAAATAAATATTGCTTCCAAATTTCCCCCTCCCAATGAACACTGCATGTTTATTGGTGGTGAGATGCCCCAAACAAAATTCACACTGTGCTAAGCCCACAGTGTCCTGTGAAAATGACTGGCTTGATATAAACCAGCAAAAGAGATGTTGGGCAAGTTTCCTTGATGGCTACAAGGAGCTGAAAGGCCAGTCTTCTTGACTGCTGTCAAAAGGCAATGCACCATTAAATGCTGAAAACACCCTGCCGAAATGAATAGAGGCTGTGTTTGAGAAAGGCTTGCCTGTTGGTTTTTGGGTGATTTGCTCCACCAGTGAAATGGGGGATACATCAGGAAGAAATTTTGCTCCAATGGTCAGATGCTTTTATTGCTAAAATAATTCAGGAAGGTTGTTAATCCTATTACATTGGCAAGTTAAAGTACCTCTTCCTACTTCTTGGATAAAATATACAGTAATAGCTGGACTGGAGAATGTAGCCCTTTAGATGCTGTTGGACTCCCATCAACACCAACATGGTTGATAGGCAGAGAGGATGATAACTGATCTGGGAATACCTGGAGAATCATGAGTTCCCCTCTACTATTATGTCAAAAATGAAAAATATAATTAGGCCCCCTATAGCCAGAGAAGTCCTTGGGTACATGCCTTTTATTAGATTGTAAGATCTGCCAAACTCAGTGCTGTACGTCTGGTGTTTGACTTTATCCAAAAGCTGTTATTTGTTATGAATGAAATTCACTGCACCAAATGTCACATTTTTAGCTTTTGCCTAACAATGTCTATCTTTTAGGAGTTTATGCACTATTGGTCATAGTGAAAGATAGGTCTGTGACACAGTAAAACTTTTCTGCATAGGTTTCATTTGTCATTGTGTGGGAAAGAATAGGGATGCAATACAGTGTGGAGGAAATAGGTCTTTATGTGCATAGCTTCATGCTACATAGAACATTTACATATTTTGTTATATCAATAATAACAATAGCATAAAATATTTGTGAAAATCTGAAATTTTAACAGTAATTTAGTACTAGGACACATTGTCTGAGAAGTAACCAGAAGCCCAAATCACTCAGGAAGTTGTGGATGAAGGAAAGAGGTCAATTTTGGGTTGAAGGGAGAGAATGACACCATAAATGGCTTAATGTAAGAAGAGCCATGCCCATAACCAGAGGGGCAATGACCCTGGATTTAACCTCAAGCAGCAATTAGGTCCTAAAGAACAATGTGTTATTGAACTAAGTGGAAACTCTGACCACAGTGTTGTCAGATTCAAAACTGAAAAATCACCAAAGAAGCCCAACATTTTTGTACAAGTTAAGATGCATTTTAAAAATGAAGAGATTTGTCAAAAGGTAGTTGTAAGCAAGGTTTAAGATATTGTGGGGAATGAGGTCATATGTGTTCTGAATTAGTGCATTTGGAAAGATATCTATCTTCCTTTTAAAAACGTTCACTCAATTGCAACACAGAGAAACTTTACAAATGTTAAAATAAAAAAATGCAAATTTCAAGGATAAACAAAGTGCAGCTCTCCAGTTTTTACTAGACGATAGCACCAAGCATCTTTCAGCATTGGTCATTCTGGCTAGGACTGCTGGGAGCTGCAACCCAGCAGTACTTGGAAATTTGCAGTTTGCCCACCCTTGCCCTAATTCTTTTTGTTAGTCAAATGTTGAATCGATGGGAACTTGGAAAGCCAACATTTACTTAAGGCTGGATCTACACTGTGATATAATTCAATTCAAAGAAGATAATCTGGATTCAGAAAATGCATTATATTGCAGTGTTGATGTGGCCATGCTTCATTGATTGGTGGGTCTATTCCAGTTGGTTATATTAATTGGATTTAAGCCATTATTTTCCTCTATAGAATTTATACAACAAATTCCAAGATTAAAAGCAAATTTAACACTCCATGCAATAAAACAGATACTGCCCCACTAAGAATGGAAAGGAGACACATCAGCTAGAAAAGTTCTTCTTTCGGCTGCTTTAAATTTCTACCAGCAGGTGGCACTTGACATCAAGAAATCAAGTGGCCAACATGGAGATATTTACTGGAATAGGTCACAGAATGACTATAATTATCTGGAGGTTCATTAGCTCTAGCACCAGTCCTCTATGTAACAGGTTTTTAGGAAATATCACAAAATCTTCAGCCCATATCAACTTGTACAGAATTTCCATGAAGGTTTTATCTTATGATGACTTGTTCAGTCAGTCTTTTGTCCTTGAATCTTCTCTTAATTTTAATCCAAACTTTTCCTGGGGGCTTTTCTTCTCTCTGCATACATTTTGACATATTCTCTCATAAAAATGATTTGAATGTTTATGAGTACTTCTTGTGTATATGAAAGAGCAGCTCGTTTTCCATTCTGCGAGGTACTTCCAGGAGTTTAGGAAAGTATTGCTGTAAATCAGACTTTTCCTCCTGCTGCATCATGGTTGAAAGAATTTCGGAAGGATCTTTTCAGCTGAGAAAAGATAAGAATAAAAAGAATAAGGAATTAGGAAAATAAATTAACAGGAAGCTAGTCAGATTAACAAATAGAAAATATGACATATTGACACTTGGAACACACAGTGAAGATTAAACTGGTGAAGAAAAATTAAAAAAAAGGCATTTGCTGATAAAGGTATCATAATCTACCAAGGCCTTTCCTGATGGAAGGTTAATTCTATCAAGGAAGTTTTCTTAATGATTCCTGAAAAAAATAGAAGCTGGAATCTAGTGTCAATATACTTAGATATAATCTCCACTTATGTCAGTATATGGCTTTTTGGGGTTGGGGAAATCATAGATTCATAAAGGTGGAAGAGACCACACGGGCCATCTAGTCCAACCCCCTGCCATGCAGGAAAAGCACAATCAAAGTACCCCTGACAGATGGCTATCCAGCTTCTGTTTAAAACTTCCAAAAAAGGAGCCTCCACCACACTTCGAGTTCCACTATTGAACAGATTTTATGGTCAGAAAGATCTTCCTAATATTCAGGTAGAATATCCTTTCCTGTAATTTGAACCCATTGCTTCGAGTGCTAGTCTCCAGGGCAACAGAAAACAAGGCTGCTCCCTCTTCCTTATGACATCCTTTCAAATATTTAAACATGTCTCCTCTGAACTACCTCTTCTGAACTACCTCTTCTTTAGACTAAACATGCCCAGTAATTTAAGCCATTCTTCATAGAGTATGGTCTTCAGACCTTTGATCATTTTCGTCAACCTCCTCTGGACACCTTCCGGCATGTCATTATCTTTCTTAACCTGTGGTGCCCACATCTGGACAAAGAATTCCAGGTGAGGCCTGACCAAAGCAGAATAGGGGGGCACCATGACTTCCCTAAATCTACAAACTATACTCCTTTTGATGCAGCCCAAAACCACATTGCCTTTTTCAGCTGCTTCATCACACTGTTGACTCATGTTCAACTTGTTGTCCATGAAGACTCCAAGATCTTTCTCACATGGACTGCTGTTGAGCCAGACGTCCCCCATTCTGTATCTTTGCATTTCATTTTTTCTGCCAAAGTACAGTATCTTAAATTTCTCCTTATTGAAATTCATTGTGTTAGTTTTGGCCCAGCTCTCTAATCTGTTACGATTGTTTTGAATTCTGATCCTGTCTTCTGGAGTATTAGCTATCCCTCCCTATTTGGTGTCATATCCAAACTTGATAACCAAGCCCTCAGTCTAAACCTTCATCCAAGTCATTAATAAAGATGTTGAATGTAGGAGAAGAATGAAGGAGGAATTATGCTGTTTCTCCTTATGCAATGCCCCCACCATGAATGCATAACAGGAGCCAGGGTCTTATAGGCACAGTACTACCATCTGCAACAACACAATCAGGAGGATTCTACCTGCCCAGACACACATAGAGGATAAGGTATCAGACATAAATTATTTTTACATTCTGTATAAAGGCTTTGAAATCCAGTTTTGTCTGAGAAGGAGCTTTAGGTTCCTTTTTACTAGCATGAAGTTCCTCAGGGTCTGAAGCAGAGCTGGGCTTCCCTGCTATGAAAGCTGAAGCTTGCAGTTCATCTTGTCTGAATGAAGAGGTTGAAGCAGTGCTTGGGACTGTGGCACTTCTGCTTGATGTCCATTTTGGACAGTTCTTCTTTGAGTACTTGGCTCTGGAAGAAGTTGCAGCATCGGAATCTGGAGGAGTATGGCCATTCTTGGATGCCTTTTCTTCCCTCCAGCCAGGAATTCCAAGCTCCGAGCACAGATTAGACTGTTCACCTAATAATTGATCCAGATTCTGTAAAAAGAAGAGCGATAGAATCATCTTTAAAAAAAAAATCAAAACTGGATCCATCAGATTATATTGCCATCTAGTGCTACTTTGCCTCAAAGACTCTTATAAGTTTGTTAAAATAACTAATAGTAATATCATCAAATGATGACAATGATGATAATACATTTACCAAATTATATATTTATTTCTATTTTTAGCTTACCCTTCTCTCATGATCTTCACATGGTAAAAAGTAAAGTAATATAAACAGTCCTTATTTCTGCAAAGGATACGCCCCTGGGCTGATTGTAGAAATATGAAACTGCAGATAATAGTGAGCCCTATTGAAATGAATGATTTCCAGAAGAAGCATACCATAAAACTGTAGTGGAGGGTGTAAAAAACCTCTCTTGCATTTCTAAGTCTTTGATCAGAACTCTGTGGTTAGCTTCTGGTGGAAGCATACCATAGAAACATGTTGGAAGACCAGAAAATGTCTAAAGAGAAGCTTTTTTTGAATAAGAGTAAGAGGAATTGTGGGGCTGGTCCCACTATATTTATGCAATGCCAGACTAAATTCAGTCATATTTTAAGCAAGAAAAAACATATAAAATATTTCAAATCTTAAAAGAGTTCTGGGGGGTTTTTTGAGGTCATTTCAAAGAACAGGCATTGAAAAGATTACACAGAGCAACAAAAATATGTTTTCTAGGTGTCTTGGATTTTACATTTGTTACTGGGCTTATTTGGAGTGCTGATTCAGATAATTGTATTGGATAGACAATACAATTTCTTAGATATAGTTATCATGGTTTTCTATGGGAGAACAGATGGCAACTGGTAGATGTCATATGTTTTTTTATCTCAAAAACTAGAATAGGGGAAACCTGGTATCATTTTTGGAATCAGTAGGTCAAATATACCCAGAACAGGATTAACGTTTGAGGTACCAAAATTTGTGTTAGCTAATGTTATAGGAGATGATAGGAAAATAGGACAGATGCTGCAATACCCTGGCTATAGTTATGCCTGCTGCCATTGATTGTCTCAACTTCTCACACCAAATGGTTTACAGAAAAGGCTCATGTGGACTACAATGTCATTTATCACCAGACTGTGTACTTGCAGGACGTACCGTAAGAATTCCTTCCCTAACCTGGTGCATGCGATCCTGTAGCTGGGTTTCCAGCTCGGCCACCTCTCGACGCACAGCCTGCCTCAAGACCTGCAGTCGACTTCTTTCCTCCCTGTGGAAAATGGCAAAGTAACAAAAGAGAAGACAAGAAATGGCAGCCTTCCATTGGTTCAAAAATCTCAGTCACGTACAATGTTTTTATCTAATAGTAATTTTTGGATTCAATATTTAGAAACAGACTTGTTTCTTTATTTTATTCCAAAAATCTTATTTGTATGCTAAATTTCCTTATTGTACAATTTCAGCCAACTGCGGGCACATCCATATGGATAGAGAAGTCTCAGATTTTATTCCTGCTCTTTTTATTATGGGTTAAAAAAACTGACCGAAGGAGCTAATATAATCAGTCTCTGACCCTCCCAAGACCTGGCAGAAAATATTCTGAAATAAAGAAAACAGCTATGAATCTCCAAAACAAAATTGGAAGGAAGGTAAACAAAATCTGGTCTTTCTGATCTTTTTAATCAGCTTGGATATCCTCTGGTATTTTCTTGTGGAGGCAGGCTAGTCCTACTATTAGATGGAGTAAAGCAATGACCCCTAGGTTGCAGATGCTGAAAAGTAGCATCACAATTTGCATAAAAGTTCCTTCAGCAATTCTCTTTTGGTTGGAACATAGAACTGTCCTCCCTCTTAAACAAGCCTCTAATGTAGCAGATAATGGGTTTCCCATCACCAATAATGAAGATTCTCAGTGATCAATGTAGTTGCATTGTGTACATGGAATTGAAAGTCAGCAATATGTCCTTCACAAGCACACAGGGTCAGCAATAGGCTTTCTCTCTTTCTACCTTAATGGTGCCTTTCATTGCATACTTTATTGTGTGAGAAGTGCACAGCATCATATAAAGAAATAGCAGCTGCATATATTTGTGGCGCTATTACCGTCCTTCCTTGGGCATTAAAGTGGAAAAGATAGCCTCTTGTTCTAGCATGTGTTGCTCTATCTCATCCAGACGTTCTCGAAACTTTTGGCATGAATTTTTCATGACTTCAATTTCCTGGACAGTACTCTAGATAGAAAGAAATAGCAATTTACTATGTGGTCATACCTGTTGAAGATTGGTAGACTAAACTGTTTAAAAGTACCAAACCTAGAAGCCGTATAGTCTTGAGCAGAACATACCTAAAAACTTCCAAGTATTAATAGTCTCCATGGGTATATCTGCATTTGTACATTTCTGCACATCTATGTCTTTCCATAGATGATTCTGGTTGGCAATATCCATTTCTCACCATAACCATCAGACACCTTTATGAGAAGTTGTCACAAATTTGTTTTATGAAAGCATATCTCCAGGATGCCGTCATAAAACAAAGGATCCAGAATTCATGTGTTCCCATTTCCAAGCTAAAGATATAGGCATACATCATTTTTTTCTCTCCCTATCAAGCTAATGGGTTACAGAAAGGCATAAATTTATTTATTTATTTATTTCTGCTACTTATACCCCGCCCTTCTCACCCCCGAGGGGGGACTCAGGGCGGCTTACAAAAAGAAGGCACAATTCGATGCCCTTATCCAAATACATACAAATATAAAACAATTACAATAATTAAACAATTAACAGATTAAAAACATCAATATATAACACAATAGCACAACAATAAACAGTCTCATGGTCAGTGTTTCGAGTTCCATAGGTCCAATAGGTTTCGTCATTATTTGCCCATCATTATGGTCTTTCTTTTTAGCTGCCAGAGTTTCCAAAAGCCTGGTCCCACATCCAAGTTTTCAGCTTTTTCCTGAATGAGAGAAGGGAAGTCGCTGATCTGATCTCCCCGGGGAGTGAGTTCCACAGGTGGGGGGCCACTACCGAGAAGGCCCTGCTCCTCGTCCCCGCCAGTCTCACTTGTGATAAACCACACAATTCAACCCGGATTGTTGAATTAACTCTACTGATATTAGTAAAATTCAGTGTTGTGAATCTATCACATCATTTCTCAGAGTTATTGGGGGAAATATTGCTATTTTTCAGCAGATCATCAAAAAGTATACTCAGACTATGTCTTGAAAACATTTCAAGGACAATTTGTGAAACATTGCCATCTTGTGGACATCTCCAAAAGTCAGGGTAGTTCCAAGACCCATGCAATAAAAAATAAAAATGGCATAAATGACATCTGAATCAAGTCAAATGAAATAATATAATACTGATTTTACACCACTGATAACAATGTTATCCACATTGATCTGAGATTCAAGTAAAAGGAAACTGATATGAAACCTCTCTTTGGCATTTGAGTCTGACACAATTGCTGCTCTTAACAAGTGCTTTCATACAGAACTAAAATCTGCCCACACCCTAACAAAAACCTGGGCTTTTCCATTTGGACACCTCTGGTAAAAACTAATACAGGTCCCAGTTTTTGGTCCTGTCTAGATGGTACTCACAGAAGAAATATTTCTCAGTGCTGTATCCTGCAATAGCTTGAGAGTTTTCAGAAGCTGTAGCTCTGTGGTGGTGTAAGATGAGCAACATGCGGCAGGGTGGTTGCATGAAGTAACAAAGGGGAAAGGCCACATCGAACAGCAGTGATGTGAGTTCAGTGAGCAGCAGTGTCCTCTAGGTTGGATACACCAACCCCTTGAAGGTTCATGACAGCAAGATCTGTGTTTCCGGTGAAGTCCTGTGTCTAGGGAAGTGGACTTCACAAGATGGCCATGCCGATGAAATGAAGGGAGACAATGAATCTGAGGGAGGGTTTCCTTCTTTCTTGTGTTCTTGTCTGTTTGAATAGAAACTTCTTTTATTTGTTTGTCTTCTGTGTTTGAGGCCACTGAAACTGGTGTGAGGAAGGGATCATCTTTAGAGCACTGGGACATCTTGGATGTGAAGTCAATGGAATGGCTCTTAACACTTGTTTCACCCAGTGAGATGCTTTGCATATTGGACAGCAGTCTTGAAGGCATCTGGACAGTGACAGATTTTAAAGGGCTATTACTATTTGTTTCAAAGCAAGGAACATACCCCTCTTGGTCCAGTTCCATGCTCCTTGGTAACTTATCCAATGAGCCAGTTTCTTCCTTTCCAGAGCAGGAGGGGAGAAAGCTATCACCTGGAAGAAGTGTTCTGGAAATAACATGGACCTCTGGTTGTGCAGTATTGATGTCATTATGAATTCTAAAGGTATTGGCTGTAACCAAAGTTATCATTTGATCACTTAAATCAACATCCTGACAGCTACTTGTGAGATCTGTGAATGGAAGAGATGAGTCCAACTTTCCACAAACCTTCAATTCATTCAGCTTTTCTGCCACACCTTCTGCTACACCTTCTAAACATACATCTCCTTTGCTTATTTCTTTAATCTCTGTTTCTTCAGTCAAAACTTCATCATCTTCTCTCCTAATGTCTTCTACTTGTCCTCCATCAATAAATATACTTGGGTTTTCTTCCCTACCATGTGAAAGGCAGTTTTCTTCTGGAGATCTAATTTCAACCTGATTCATATTATCTCTATCATGGCATACAAGACATTCCTGTACATCTCCCTTCTCCATTTCCCTTCTTCTACTTTGTATTTCCATTTCATCTATTTGATGTCCAGTTTCACTAACTGCACTCTCCTCCTGAGCACTGGAAGTCACACACAGATCATCTTCTTCACTTATAGAATAAAAGATTTCCTCTCCTTGAAAAGTATGTTCTCTACTTAGGTTCGGCAATAATGCAACATAGCTACTGCCTGCTGTTGTGTTGGCATTGGGTCCCTCTGCATAGGATTGAAGGTCTTGACTTGTTGAAATGGAATCTTTTCTGTACCATAGAAATGATTGGCCATCATGGGAATTGAAACTAAGTCTCAGGTTTCCAGGCAGAGACAAAGCCTGAAAGAGAAATAAAACTGTCTTAATATTCCTGTGAGCTGACCCCAGAGCAAGTTCAAATTTAAGGAAAAAACAGTTTGGTCTAATTTCCAAAGAAGCAACCACGTTAATATTTTGCAGCATAAAAACGAGAAGAGTGCAGTGTGGGGGAAGGACTGCAGCAGCATATTTTAAGACTTTCCAGTTTTATTATTGCATGAGCCTTTGTGGATTTAAACCCACTTATTTGGATGCAGTGTAAAGTGATAATAAATGCTTAGGCATAAAGCACATTGCACTAAGTGGGAGAAGAATGAAATGGAATAGGATCCCAAAGGACACAGATTATGACTCTTTGTCTTAAATTTTCAAAGGGTAGCATAAGGTGATACATATCTTTAAGATCTTTATTGTGGTCAGTTAGTGTTGGCATGTGAAAACAATACATATGCTGACCAAGATCAGGCTTTTTGTAGAGTAATGGCATGTTTTTTAACAGAGAGAGAAGAATGAAGACGGATAACAAGTACATGCAACATGAGGGAGATCCCTGATGACTTTGAGGAGAGGCCAACACTTTATTCTCAGGAAGCTTTCATACCCACTTTAGCGTTTTGGCTGAAATAATGTTGCAGTTGGCATTGGGCAAGTAACAGAGAAAAAGGACAATGGAGCACTCCTATATTTTTGAAACTTGAAGTAAGAGTTCATACACCATGAGGGATAACTTCCACACAGGCTTCTGAACCATGGAACATTTTTGTTAGAAAACAACCTCTTAAAAGTCTAGTGTTACACCCATAAAAGTTACACCCATACAAAATTAGATTTACATAAAAACAACAGACCTACTCTGCAATTCCTTTCTTCCAAATGTTGACCCTCTCTAAAAACTAGATGTGACTTTTCCATAGGTTTCAGTTTCTTCTTCTCTACTCACCTGTAGAGGTAATGGCTCAGAGGGGTCTTCCAGAAAACCACTGCTGTCAGACTGGCAACTGTTTGTTCTTGTTACTATCATATCTATAATTAAAAAAATCAAGGCAAGAAGAAAAATAATTAAAACAAAAATCTACATGTTCAATCCCTGATTTTTTTTATAATGAAGCCATGTAGAAACTGAAGAATGCAATTCCAAGGAAAGTGAGATACAGAGAAACAGACGGACTATATTCTGTACAGTATAGAAGCATCATGCTCCTCTCATATGTAAAACTTGAAGAAATGTAAAGTATATATGTCTTAGAATGAAATTGCAAAATATACATCTTTTAGTTATTTCTCTAGGGCAGGGGTGTCTATAAGAATAATGGGGGGGGGGGCTGAGGATGTACCCTAGCAAACCATCATTATCCCAATACCCCCATGCATATGGGATATATTGAGCATGGTGATCAGATCATGATATGAATAAACATAACAGTTTAAATAATGTACCAGTAAGGCCTTCTTGCGGACCACCCTGAGAATTTCGGGGGGGGGGGGGGGCTGAAGCCCCTCAAGCCCCCCCCCCCCCCGGCTACATGCCTGTGTCTGGAGGCATCCTATTAATCCAGATGGAAAATATATTAAACTGAATAGGTTGCTCAGGACAAGAGAGTGGTATAGGTACTGCTAGGAGAAGCTAGTGTTGGCTGAAGGATTCTGAGTTCTCATAAAAATGTAACCTTCTAAAGATCTGGATCTAAGGTTTCATGGTTGAGGTCTGTTGGTCTATAGGTGAGAATATGTCATCATAAGGATAACATCATGCATTGAATAACATCATTATATCTACTTTAAGCCCCTAGAAATGATGACTGTGTTCCTTCCTTGTTCTTTAGGCACACAAAGAATGTCCTGCCACAGCTTCTTTCAACATGCCCCATGGCTGACAAAATGCTGCAATCATCATTCCCCAGCACTCTAATCTGCAGGGCTTCAGAAACTATTTGTTTGAGATGCTGCCTAACTTGACGGGGAGTTTTTGCAGGGGTCATGTTCAGTCACTGATTACCATAAATATGAACCCCCCCCCCCCAATTATACAACTGCAAAACCCAATATACATTCTTGTAAATATTGCATATGATGGTAACTTAGATGATCTCAAGAGCTGGCAATGGCATGGTCCAAATCATGGCAGATCTGTTATCAGCAGAATTTCTGTGCCACGTTTTAATTGGTGGATTCTGCTTGTTTTACTCCATGTGCTGCTTTTCTTTCTCATTATTCTGATGACATTATCTGTGCTTTAATTTTTTAAATAAAAAATACCTATTATGTTTATAAAGATGAAGGGTAGTATACAAATATTTTGATCATTCAAGTAAAGTTACATTACCGGGCTATAATGTTAAGATCAACCAAGATCAACACAAAGTAATGGCCTGCAGGTGGCAGCAGGAGACAAACCTCCAATGTAGAACTTCTAATAGTGAAGCACCTCAAACAATACTTTTCTTGGAATTCCTTGGAGGCTCAGGCAATTATACTAGGAAGTCATTGTTCATGTTGGTCATTTTAAAAATCAATGGAACCAAAATATTTTTCCCTTTAAAAAACAAAGACACTCAGGCCTCAATACAAAACATATTTACCTAGGAGAAAATCTCATTGATATAAATAGGAGTTTCCTCTCAGTAGAATTACAAAGGTCTCCCCTTTAAAAACTTCATATTTTTACTTGTGTTTTCACTTAACATCACTGTCATCACCATCATCCTGATCTGTTCCCTAGTACTTAGACACCTTAGGCTGGATCTACACTGCTATATAAGCCAAATTATCGAAGTAGATAACACATATTATCTGCTTTGAACTGGGTTATAGGAGTCTACACTGCCATACAATTCAGTTCAAAGTAGAGAATCTGGAGATGGGGCCTTGGGAAAAACCCCAGAAAATAGATGTGACTTCGGTGTAGTGACTTCGGTGCCATATTATGCAGTTTGAAGACCAGTTCTGAGTCCTGGCTGAGTCATGGAAATTGAATAAATTTGGGCAAGTTACATTCTCTCAGCTGAAGAAGAAGGTAGTGGCAAATCTCCTCTGGATAAATCTTGTCAAGATGGAATCACATCAAGTCAGATTTGACTTGATGGCACATTACAACACCAAAAGCAAGACATAAAAATGTATGCAGCATGAAAATACAATTAAATTACAAGTAGAATTTATTTATTTATTTACTATATTTATAACCTGCCCTTCTCATCCCAAAGGGCATTCAGAGCAACTTACACATTGGCAACTATTCAACAATTCATAACAAAATCATACCAATTTAAAAATCCATTAAAAAGTAAGAATTCTAATCATGTCCCCAAGGCCTGTTGAAACAAAAAAAGTATTTATTTGCAGTCAGAAGGTCACCATGGAGGGAACCAGTTAAGGCCTTCTGGAAAATGATTTTGAGAAGCTGCAATCAATTGCTGAGAATGCCTCTTGAATATCCTCTGTAAGGGAGGTGGATCTGAGAGAAGTTCCCACCTTCAACCTCAAAAAAGTTCACATTGCAGAATACAATCGTTCAGAGAATTTGGACCTGATCCTGACAGCCCTTGTTTCTGAATAAATGCTAGAACTGAGCACAAAGACATTGCATTCCACATGAATGTTGAGAGGATGGAGCTACAACTAAAACACAACAGTAAGTTTAATATGTACCTACAAACCCAAATTAATAGTTTGGAGGTATGTATTTTTTCACTCTGCTTTTGTGGTTTTGTACCTTATTAACTCAGCAGGGAGAAAAGGAGAAGAAGGGGCAAAATCTACCTTTCCCAGGAGGCCCAGTAAAAAGCAAACTTTGGCAGCCTTTCCTAGCTTTTTTGTTCTTCCTCATTAATAACCTTTACTTTTTGCAAAAGAGTGAAAATTCCCACCAGCAATTTTCTGCAATACAGAGACATTTCCACAAATGTTTGCCAAAAGTCCCAAAATGTGAAAATTCTATAAAAACTCTTATAACCTCACCCAAAGATGATAGAACCTTCAATTTATTTTTCATCCTTATAGGCTACAACAAAATAAGGAAAGTGTTTCACCTCAATAGTGCCTTTAAACCAACAATCTCTCCAATAAAGATGGTTTTGCCCTGAGGATTATGTGAAGAATCCAGAATGGAGACCCTCACTCAACTTTTGGCTTGAAGTGTAATGGCTCCCCTGACACCAATGGGACTGTCTCCATTTGTCATTAACCCAACACAAAAGGCAGGCTTGATAACAAACTGATTTTGTCTTTGCTTTAAGCTGTGAAATGTGTTGAATGTATATTGTGTGTGCAATACTATCACTGCTATGATCAAAAAATGTCCCAGGAAAACCAAATATCAAACCTATATTTGACATTTGGCTTTTAATGAATAACAATTAATCAATTAATAATAATTGTTTTTCTCTTTAATTCCATTTTTATTATTTTAATATTTTAAAAATGGAATACAACCACCATATACATTACAAACATATACACATATACGCAGACAACCCTCAACCCACTGTACAATTACCCCTCAACCCACCGCTAGTGCTACTAATAATAATTGTTTAATATCTTGACTACTACTAAACATTAGCATTAAAATATTTTTGAAAGGAACAAGTGATCTTGATTGTATTTTGTCTTTCTTTAAACATCAACAGAGATTTGCACACAGACTGGTATGTTTCTCTTCCTGAAACATTTGCAAAAAAGCAAAATGAAGAGGGTGGGAAAAGAAATAGAAACAAAAAGGATGGAAAGAGGGGAACAGGAGAGCTGCAGCTACTGGACAGGACGTACGTGTATGTGTATGAGTGTAATTTCAGATTAGGACAAGCAAGATACACATGGAAGAGTAGGAAGAATGAAAAGATTCTGTCCCCTGTCTACATAAATTAAAATCCATATCCAACCAGCAGCTCAAGTTTGAGGGAGGCACAGGGAGAGAAAGGCAGCAAGTGAGCTTAGGCCACAGTATTTAATGTTTTTGCATTAGGAGCAAAGTAGGGGATTTCAACATGTGAGCCCTCCTATGGAAGGCTTGATAGGAAACCAGGAAAGCCTATTTTTTCATATATCTACACATGTCAAAAAGAAAAAAAAGTGCAGCCACTGTGATCATATGATCTAAAATAATCCAGAAACATATTTCTGAGGAGACTTTGGAGAGAGAGGACTGTATGACTTTCTAGACCAATTGGAGTTTGGATCTATATCAGTGGTTCCCAACCTTTTTTTGACCAGAGACCACTTGACCAGAGACCACTCACCACCATTAATATCAAAAGGGTTATGAATCAGTTTTTGGTCAACTTTAGATTTGGTTTGGTTATTTGGGGTGCTGATTCAAAAAATTGCATTGGATAGACCACATCAGCTCTAGTTTCTGATACAGAACATATGTCATCCAGTAGTCATCATCTGCTCGCCTATAGAAAAACATATTTAATAATCTAGAGTTGATGTAGTAGTAGTAATTTTTCATGGGTAGTCTGCCTTTCTGCTCCCGACATCCCCATTGCTTTGGCACTATAAGAGGGTTTCATGAGACCAGTCGCTCTCGTTGTCGTGTGGTTTTGAGGCAATGGTGTAGTCATGGTGAGACCGCAGACCATATTTTCATTCTTGGGGTCCACTGGTGGTCTACGGACCACAAAGTAGGAACCAGTGATCTACATGAATGAGTGTGATTGCGGTGGGAGCTAACCAATGCTCACTGGGGCTGGGAATTATGCCTTGTGTGGATGAGACTAGGAAAATTTACATTAGTACTAATCTGCTTTAATAATAGCCTCTGACTCCATTCCTCCATAACTAAGACATCTTTGCCAAATTTAAACAAGGTTCTTCCTTCCCAATTTTTCATATTATCTTCATCTTACTAACTGGCTTTAGTCCATTTTCTAATCCCTGCCAAACAGTGAAAAAGCCGACTGACATCTGTGCTGAGTTCTAATGAAACGAGGCACAAAGCTACAAGTGTCAGAAGTACAGAGATCCTGTTCAAGCTTTCTCCCTCCACAGTTTATGAGAGGTGCTGGTTCAAAATGAATGGA